TTCCTGTGAAGACGCAAAACCGCACCACGGTTTGCCAATTAAGGCAATTGTGAGGCACTTAAGTCAGCGCAATGGAGCCGCCAGCTACCCCGGATTAATTTGTCAACTAACTCAATTCAACCCTAACTTGTTAAACGAGGCTGCTAGGCTTTGGTGGTGAAGGAGGAGGACGAGGAGGAGGGAGGGGATAAAAGAATGTATGTAACTAGCTGAAGGCTACAACTCCTCTCTCCCTCTCTAATCAACACCATCATCTGATGTGTCTGAAGCGCTGAAGCAATTTTCACACCACAAATTCTGCCCCCTCGATGCAAAGATAGCGCAGCACTCACGAATAACAGCTTCGATGGGGACACCATCTCTCATCCAGAGGTAATAGCATTGTTGGCAATAGGTACACTTCTGTGCAAAAATGAACTACTTTGACTGATTGCACCACGTGCAAACGGACCCATTCGCACTAGTACACCACAACACATGCAGACACACCGTGATTGTGGTCATACATTGTGATCAACCTACCGCAACGATGAATGTAGAAGAGACCCTCGTTGAGGGAGGATGCGGAGGCGGAGGCACCAACTACACAGCTACCGACACCGCTGCACCCGCAACTGATCCCCATCACCAGAGGCGAGGGACAGGGGGGCAAGTAGAGGTAGGCGTCATTCTTCGGTGCGTCACCAACCTGGTAAATCAAATCGGTCGTCAGGGCGTCAGTCAGGAATTACATCTACCTACTTTCGCATAGCTAGAGGTGTATTCAGGGGCAAAACCGCGTACTTCGCAGGATCCCACTCCTCTCTCAACCTTCCGCAACCCCTCCAAATAGATGTTGTTCTTCAACACACCATCTCTCTTTGCACCGGCCACAAGTAGCCTCATTGGACACTAAATTGACTTTCTTCGCATCACCTATGAATGTGCTACTCATTCGAACTAAACACCAAATCTCAACCATAGGACCAATTCGTGGCACACCTGACCGACTACTCACCTCTGAGTAGTGCTCCATTGCTGACACGTCAAAGAAAGTGACGAGGTAAACACCGTCTCCCATTGTCAACTTTTCCAGCTACAATCATACCAATCACACCGGTAGTCAAAGTGTCCGTACTGTCAAAATGCCCATTCATCAACACATTGACGAACCGGCACAAATGAGCAAACTGCTTCACTTCCAACATCGTTACATTTGAGAAAAGCTCTTTGCTTGACCCTCCCCCTCCACTCACCACTGGAGAGATTATCGCGATCCAGCGACAAGTCAAGCATTCGTAGTGATGCTTTGGAACAAGAGTAACGGTGTACAAAAAAAACTCAACGTCATCAGTAAACACAGCACAACCCCAGGGTTGTAATGACAACACTGTTGTAAGTATAACACTAACTTACTCTCGGTCACCAAATCTTTTCCCCTCCCTCTTCACTTCAACACTTTAACTCGCAAGTAGTACACAGTAACTGATTGCATTCAGTCGCTTCAATCCCCATCAACGAAGTGCGCGGAAAACTCACATCAAAAGGATAAACACGGAAGGTGAACTGTGGACCCATCCAAATGCGACGGAAGGGTCCCAAATGGGTGGTTAACTCCACTTGACTGTACCAATACGAGGCAGCGTCATCGGGTGCCCAGCCTTCAGGTGCAGCAGTGGTAATGGAGCGGTAGCTTCGCACGCTCTCCGGCAAACTCGATGCCACCGTCGACGCCGCTTCTGAGGCGTGGCGCCGCCTTAAGGGCACCTCCATTGCCCCTGTCGATTCTACAAAAGGACGTAGAACGGTGCTGAAGACAAGCACCACTCATTGAAATGCCTTCGCCTCAGGAATGACAGACAATTGCTCACCAATGACGTCCGAACACTGCTGCTCTACTACGGTGTCAGTGTTTGATGTGCCCACCTAAGCACAACTACTTCCTCCCAACCATTGCCACTAAGGCTATCAGTTCAGGTGGACAGTTCAATTCCCCTCTACGAGGGTTAGCACAAAGTGACTAGCATCCATGCTCATTTGGACTCTTCTTCGACCATTGCACCATCATTATGCAACGCAGGCTTTGAACGAAGAATTCACTGGGTTGGAGACATTGAGGCCACTATGGTCTACGACGGTTCCCATCCGCCTCGCTCCTCGCATCGCCCAACAAAACAGCAACAACTTCACTTGGATCACCTTCTTCTTCCATCAACGGGGCAGCAGAGAAAGTATGTGTCTTGCACAAGCAAAAACAGTACTCAACAGTACCCACAAGCCAACTTGTTTCCTCCAGTGGCATTCCGGCGGTCAACTCGACTACATTAGGGAACACAAGAGGGTGACAAAAGATGACACACTCTGACTGGACGAAATTGTGTTGAGTGCAAACACATGTATACAGCGTAATCTATTGCTGGTCGCTCCGGCTTTCTGCCTGCCTACGGTAAGGCGGAACCTGTGCTCCTACGCTTCCATAATGGCTTCACGGCAATACCTCGAGCATGAGGAGTTTGTGCCAATCAAGCTGGTATATGTCATCACTCTCGTTTAAGGACGTTAAAGCGCAGTAATGATAATAGCAACCAATACTGAAGGCAGACACACCCACATCTCGTGCATTCAGCCAACGTGTCTACATTGGGAGCGTGAATCCGACTACGCCCCGATCACATAATGAGGGCAATGGAACGAAGAGGGTGATGAAATGGTGTGCGTGTGATGACGCGCCATCCCTGACGCTTACTTGCGTGCAACGTGTGGACCCAAGTGTGCTGCAAAACCTGATTGAACGCATTGGTTTGCGGGTTAGGGTATTGCCCTTTCCCCGTCTCCATCTTACGCAATTCGAATGTGTGGATCACGTGATGGAATGCCTCCCATGCGGCCGACCAATCACTAGGACGCAACCATCACATCCAGGGCTACGAGGCGTGTCCTTGGCGTAGAGCAGAGCAGTGCCACGATAGCAGGGAAAGCAAAGGATAACAGAATGAAGTCTAGCCACATGCCATTTGTGTGTTGATAAAATGTCGCAAAGGCACAAATAAACCACCTCTTTAGCGCATACGTCAAGCGTCTGGCAGGAACTAAATAACTAGGACTGATAAAAGGGGGATAAGGAAAAG